AGTGGTTGTACTTAGGGCAGGAGGTGGATGGATTCCCAGGAATGACCATCCTGGCACCTCTGGCACGTTCATCCCCTTGGGGACAGCTTTGTCCCCAAGATGGTTCCAAAGGCAGACACCCCATAATCCACATCCACCCCAAATTCCCAGCAGCTGACTGCTCCTGCTGGCAACTGCTGACCCCTGAGCTGTGTTTGTCCCTTCAGATCAGACTCCCCTTGCAGGATGGGAGAAGGAGCAAATCCATCGAAGAACGAGAGGAGGAATATCAACGCGTCAGGGAGAGAATATTTGCACGAGAGGTGAGTTTGGATCACTCACCTGCCAGGATCCCCCTGCATTTTTGGGGCAGAAGGTGGCTTTGAATATATTGAGAGGTCACATCGTTGCATTTTTTACTGATTTCCCAGAATTTTGGGGATGTGCAGGTGAATTCCAGCTCCCAACAAAGATGTCTGAGATGCTGGGGTTGAGCAGCCACACCTGCACTCTCCAATCTTCTCCTTCCCTAAAATTTCAGGGAGCAGTGAATGCAGTCCTTGCTGCCCAAAAAATTTTAAATTTATGCAGTGGCATTTTTGGGGTGACCAAAAAATTGCTGACCCAAAGGAAACAGCAGCTTCACTTCCCAATTTCTTCCCTGTGCTGCAGTTTCCAGTGAACCAGCAGTGCAGGGCTCTGCCTTTCCAGGAGGATTTTAGGCCCTCCTAGGAGGAATTTGGACCTTTCCAGGCAGATTTTAAGCCCTTCTAGGAGGAATTTGGACCTTTCCAGGAGGATTTTAGGCCCTCCTAGGAGGAATTTGGACCTTCCCAGGAGGATTTTAGGCCCTTTTAGGAGGAATTTGGACCTTCCCAGGCAGATTTTGGGCCCTCCTAGGAGGAATTTGGACCTTCCCAGGCAGATTTTGGGCCCTCCTAGGAGGAATTTGGGCCTTCCCAGGAGGAATTTGAGCAGTCTGTCTCATGAAGTGTCCAGGTTGGTTATTGTTTCTTGAAATCCCTGCTTGGAGCAGTGTCCCACTCTCACATCTGGTTCAGAGGCTGCTTTGGGGAGCAGCTCCCAGCTGGAATCAGCTCCAAATGCTGTATTTAGGACAGAAAGACCTTTTGTGTCACCTGGACAAAGGTGACCATCAAAGCTGCCTCAGTGGAGCAGGGAGCTGAGGACTCTGAGAGATGGCAGGGATCAGGAAAAGTTCCTGAAGGGAGCCAGGAAGTTCAACACCCACTGAGTCCCAGCCCCACCTTTTGGAATCACCCGGGTTTGTTCTTTCAGAGTGATTAAATTTCCCTTTTCTTTCCTCCCCATTCCTGTGGTCGTGCTCCCAGTCTGGCCAGAATGGATACCTCACGGACAGCAGGTGAGTGCATGACTCTAAAATGATGCTTTTCTGTGTCTCCAGAGCTCTGCATGACTCCAAAATGATGCTTTTTCCTCCTCAAATTCTCCACAGAAGGCTTTGCTTGTAACCCTCACACAGAGGCAGATTTGTGGGGATCTCTGTGTGATTTATTTTGTGTCGTGTCCTGCTGAGTTTCCCCCATGTGCAGCTGCTCGTGGAATTACCAAAGATGTTTTCTTTGAAACATCAATTTCCAGTCCTTTTTTTGGCTGGTTCATCAATTAAAAAGGAGRGTGGGAATGGCAGGGAGAAACTCCAGCAGTTTTCAAACCATTCTATCCCCTAAAGGGTAGGAAATCCTTGCCCTTAAAGAGTGCCAGGATCAGCATTAGGATCAGGCAGGGCTGTCCCTAATCCCTGATTATCGAGCCTGGATGATTTCATGGTGACAGTGAAGTGTYTCCCCCTCCATCTCAGCCACAGGAGCTGCTGAGGGCACTGAGAACGTGTTGGAGCATCATTTTCTTATTAAAGAAATTCTTACAATTTCTTTTCTCACGGATGAAAGGGCTAGAGCGAGGCTGAGTCACCCGGCTGAGGTGTGGGGATAAAAAAACAGCATAAAAAAGGAGAGAACCTCATCCCTGCTGTGCTCTGTTCTCACAGAATGCAGATGGGGCAGGACAGGAGGATCTGAGCCAGGCAAGGAGCAGCTTTGTCCCTCTCCTCAGGCTGTCACCTGCCTCAGGATGTCCTGGAGGATGTCCTCGGTGCAGTCACAGGGGCTGTGTCCTGGCTCAGGAAGGACAATTCTCAGACATGTGGGGTTGGAGTAAAACTCCCAGAATGRAGCAAAAACCCCATTGCTGATGAGGCTGCTGCTTTGGGAGCTGAGCTGGACTCTTCCAGATCCTGAAGAGCTCAGTTAACCCAGCTTAAAAACTACTTTTGGGGTTTCCCTGGATGGGAGAGGGAGGATACGTGGGTCTCAGGACCATTTTGAGCTCTCTACGGACATAACCACTGTGCTGCTTTTCCAAGARATTTGTTTTTGGCTCCAACACGCTCCCAGCAGCCCAGGACATCACCTCAGGAGTTCCTTCCAAGCCTCTTTTCCTGAGCCAGGCTCAGCAGCTCTTCCTCGTAATCCCTTCCCAGGGAAAGCTCAGGAATCCCAACTTCAGGCTTCTACTTTTCACAGGGCTGATAAAGCAGGCTCACTACTTGATGTGCTGATATTCCATAAAATCCTGCTCTGGGCTAAGGGAGGGTGGTGAGTGGGAGCACAGCTCTGCAGGTAGTGATATCCCAGAATCCTGAAATGGTTTGGATTGCAARGGACCTTAAAAMTCATATTTTTCCACCMCCYTGCCATGGGCAGGGACACYTTCCACTGTCCATGGTCCTTGGACACTTCCAGGGATGGGACAGCCACAACTTTGGGCAAACAAGGCCAATTGGGCAGAAATCCTCACCGGGGTTGGAGTGGGAAGTGCTCTCCAAGATCTCCATCAGCCTTTTCTCCAGACCTTTAAAAACTCCCTGTTCTGAGACAGGGAGGTTTTTAACACAGGATTTTCACTCTGATCCTGCTGGGGTCTGTTCCAGGCTGGGGAAGGGGCCAGGAGCTGGCTTTGACCCCAGAATGAACCAAAAAAAATCCCAAACCCAGCTGCTGACTGTCCCCACCACCCTACACTGGGTGTACTGGTGCAGCACCAGCATCTCTGCTGCTTCCCCTTCACCAGAATCCCAGTTTGACTTCTATTTTTAATTCAGAGGCAACCGGGACGGGCTAAGCCGGGCCTCGGGCAGCCGCCAGAGCAGCACCGAGAGTGAAATCAAATCCTTGGAACCACGGCCCTGGAGCAGCACGGATTCCGACGGCTCCATCCGCAACCTGCGGCCTCCTGTCACCAAAGCCAGCAGCTTCAGTGGCATCTCCATCCTCACCCGGGGGGACAGCATCGGCAGCAGCAAGGGCAGCACTGCCAGCAGGACGTCACGGGCAGGTACGGTGCTGCCAGGTGGGTGTGGAGCTCTTTTCCTGCCCAGCCTGGCAGGATTTGGATTGAGGAGCTGGAGCTCTCTTTGTCCCAAATGACACCTGGCAGGATTTGGACTGAGGAACTGAAGCTGTTTCTCTGCCCAGCCTGGCAGGATTTGGGCTGAGGAACTGGAGCTCTTTCCCTGTCCAGCCTGGCAGGTTTTGGGCTGAGGAGCTGGAGCTCTCTCCCTCCCAAAGGACACCTAGCAGATAGATTTTGGGCTGGGGAACTGGGGTTTGTGCTCTGGTTAAAACAGGACATAGTTGGCACCAGGATCTCAGTACCCTGGCATGGATGTGCCACCTGGTTCATCACCTGCTTTTTCAGAACTCACCATCACCTCTCCCATGCCATCAGCAGAATTACCTGAGGCAAAGGACAGAGTTTCCTCCCAGCCCCTGCAACTCAAGCTCCCAATCTGTGTTGTTTTCTGTCCTCTGCCATGCCCCGAATTGTGTTGCCATTCCCTTCTGCTCCCAAAATCCCTCCCAACMCTGAGGATCCTCAGGATGAAGCTCCTGGCACCGTGTCTTGTTTTGCAAGGAGGACACCCAGCAAGGTGTCACCCATTAATCTCATCAGACATGCAGTTTCCTTGTCAAAGACTCCCTAATTGGGATCTGCCCACGATGTTCCCTCACGCTGATTCACAAAACTCCTGGGAGCAGACAGCAGCCTTGAGCTTCTGGCAGCCAAGGGGAATTTGGCTGGAGCCAAAGGGAATTAGGATCCTCAGCCTCTGCTGCTTCAGCTCAGTCCTTTTTTTGTCCATACAGGTACCACAGAGCACAGCTCAGGATGTTTTCTTGGGGTGTCACAGGCACCCTGCTCTGGCAGCAGCTTTCTGCCACATCCCCTTGGTCAGGGAGGAGCAAAATCTCCAATTTCCAACCAGCTGCTCGGTTGAAAYATTTGAAAAGTATTTGTGGAAGAGGCAATCCTGGGTTTTACTCCCATTTAATCCCATGGGTGACTGTGTGGTGTCAATATCCCACTTTCCTGCACTCCCACTGGTCAGCAGCAAATCCCAAATCCTTCAGAACCATCATTTTTATGGGCAGGAGAAGCAAATTGGTGCTTGTGGGCAATAACTGCTGCACAAGAATCCTTTCAGGGCTGGATCCCAGCACTCAGCCTGGCTTTGAAACCTTCATCTCCCAGTTTAGAGGTGCCCATGGCATCTCTGGGATCCTGTGCTTGCTCTGGGAGTTGCAGCCACCTCCAGGACTGATTCATGGAGTGCTGGGAGATCTGTCCCAGCGTGTGCAGAACAGAGTGAAAAAGAAGCTGCTTTTTGGCTCTTCCTGTAATTTTCCCTGCAGGTCCCCTCGGGGAAAACAACAGTTTCTTTCCAGGCTTTATATAATGGCAAGTGATTAGAAACATCTTGGGAAAAAAAGAGAAAAAAAAAAGGCAGAGGAATTATCACTTGAGGGGAAAAAAACCACCAAACCCACCTTCTTCCACAATCCTCATATTTATTCCATGGGGGTGGAAGTGTTTGGGACTCAGGGGCTCTTTTCCCATCCAGTCCCTGAGCAGCTGGCAGTGAAATATTCCCTCCTTTGCAGCTCCACARCAGAATCCCTGGGGATCAGCTGTGGAAATGTGGGAGATCAGAGGCAGAACTGGTTAAACAGCAGCTACTGGGCATCGAGCAGTAGTTGCACAACCCTTTTTTATTTCTGGAAATAAGATTGGAATACTGAGGAGGCGCTTCCCAGCTGGGTGTGGATCGCTCTCCTTGCCAGATTTTTCTGCCATGGGAAGGGATTGCTTTCAGCCTGGCATCTCCCACATTTTCCTGAGAGAAAAGGAGCTCTGTGGGGTCCTGAAATAGGATCTCCCCTCTGTTCTGGGCAGTCAGAAAGGTGATGGGAGTGTTGGTGTCCAAATGGGACCATGCCCAGAGCTKAGGTGGGACTGGGAACAGCTCTGCAGCTCCTTTGTTGCCTAAAACAAGGCTCAACTGAAACAGAGACCAGATAAACTTAATAGAAAAAGGATAGACAACTTTAATCCAGGCCTTCTGGTACATTAAGGGCAGACAAAAACCTCTTCCTGAGGCTACACCCAAAATGGACTCCAAATCACAAGATCTTCACCTTTTATAAGTTCTGCCTTTTTAACCCTTTAACCCTTTATATTGGGTCTCAATTCCCCAATGATATTTCCAGGTGATGATGTCAACCACCCCAAACTTGCTCCCCCCAAACTCGCTGTTGTTTCCATATTTTGGGGTTCTGAGACAGTGAAGTTTCCTCGGATTCAGGCTCAGAGAGGAATTGTTTTGTCTAAAAGTGGGAGAACAGTAGTTTTTAGTGCTATAATAGAGAAGTACAAGAACACAAATGCATGAAAATATAGAAACTAAAAATCCTAAGATTTCCCACAGACTCTGGTGGTCCTGAGCTGGCACATTTGGGGGTTTGAGATTCCTTCCTGGTGCAGGGGTAAAGAGCATCTAATCTGSTTGGCAGCCAGATTCCTGTTGAGTGGGGGAGGAAATCCTGGGGTCAGCTTGGGAGGGTCAGTGTGGGCACCTGGGCATGGAGAGGAGGGAGGTAAAACCCCCTGGAGTGTCAGCACTTGGCTTTGTGTCAGTATTTGACCCTTTGTCCCTTTGGTGAACGGAAAAACTGGGGGAAAATAGTTACAATTTGATACAATAAAGTCATTAATAGGGAACTGAAAGCCATGAAGAAAAACCAAAAAACCACAAAAAATAACCCCAAACTTTACTTTACCCATTCTATACATTATATACAAATAAAAATTAATTAATAATTCTTTAAATTCTTATGCAACACAAAACTTCTTTACAATAAACAACCTCACACACAAAAAACCCCAAAACAAAAATCCACGTATCAACTTCTGGTGATGCCAGAACCCCCCTGCTCCCTTTCCCAGCCCTTTACACCTCTTTCCTTTGCAGGTTTGGTGCTAGGTGCCCCTGAGACCTGCAGCCAGTCCCCGTCCTCGCAGCCCAACCGTGGCCTCCTGCCCTGCACGGCCCCGCAGCCGCCCCCACAGCCGCCCCCACAAGCCCCTGGTCTCCCCCCAAACCAACAGCAGCCAACCATGAGCAGCCCCATGATGTCCCAGGTGAGTCCCAAGGGGCAAACAGGTAAGGGGGAGGCAGGGTCAGGGCTGTTCTGGGCTCATAACTGGGTTTTGGGGGTCACCACACTCGCTGTGTTCGTGGCGGAGTGTGAGAAAGTTGGGTTTTGTGGGATATCCCTGCTCTTTCTCAGGCCAGCAGCTCCCCTGGAAAAGGATCCACAGCTCTTGGATSAGTGGCAAACTGGAACCAGTTTCCYTCAGGATTATCCTGAATGGGTTAAGGCAGTTCCATGGGGTTGAGCTCCCCAGGACTGGTGTTTTCAAGTCCTGGAGCAGTCTCTCCCCGAGTTAAAGCCAAGGGATGTTCTGTGTTCCACAGCCTTCTGAGCTGTTTCCAGGGATGGAACCCTCCAGGAAGCACCCATGGGTGCCATCCCTGTGTATTTATTCTGCTCTTGAGGCTGTGACAAATCACAGCCCAGCCCTTCTGCAAGAATGGGGATGGGGTGGGAACGATCCCAGTGGGGCTTTGGGAGTGAATTCATGTGGAGTGGGTAGAAATATGGGGGTATCCACAACACCTCCCTGTCCCACGTGTTGGTGCTGGACCTCAGCCTGCCCAGGGGCTCCTTGGGGATCCTCTGGTGTCACCTTGGACTCTTGGTGTCTCCTGCAGCAAAGAAATATCACTGGAGGGGTTCAAGGTGCAATAGGGCAGGGAAATTCCTGGATAACCATACTAAGGCTTCCTTTCCTATAAAAAGTTGGACCAGGTTTTCTTCTGAGGTCCCTTCCRTGATTCTCAGTTTTTTCACTAGACTGTGATGAGAGAAGGGATGAAGCTCCTCAAAAAGATTTCAATACTTTTTTTGCAGCTCTTTGCTGGCTGTAGGAGATGGGGGAGCTGGGAGTTCTGGGACCCTGGAGTGGCTCCAGGGTTGTGGATCTGTTTGTGGAGGATTCTGAAGGGGATTCAAGGGATGAGCTGTCTCCTTGAGACGTGGAATAGCAGAGTTCTTGGGTGGAATCTCATGGGGGATCACTGGGATGTGCTGGGGTTTCAGTTTTTATCTTCTGCCCCTCTCATCCAATGGATCAGGTCTTGGAAAAACTGATTTCAGGTTTCAGGAAAAACAGGTATTTGACTGTTGGTAAAGGGTCTGGAAATGCACCATCCCCATGTTTGTGTCCCTTCTATGTCACCAAATTAAAGGATCAGGCCCCCTGTCCAGCGCTGACCATCACAGGGTTGTGCTTTTGGGGTGTGGGGTTYGAGTGAGGGGTGAAACAGCTGCTCCAGGTGACAAAATGGGGGTCCCTGGGGAAGGTGAGCGTGCAGGAAAGGCATTCCTGACAGGAATGGCCCAGGAGCAGTGCAGGGAATGCTGGAAATGGGAGAGGCA